CAAAAAAATTAGCAGTTCCAAAAAAAAACTACAGTAATTCCATAATTATTTCAATGAAATTCTAGTGATTCTAATAATCTATAGTAATTCCATTATTTTTAAATTAATTCTTGCAATTCTAACTTAAATTCAAATTAATTCCGATAGTTATAAGAAATTCAAACTAATTTTAAAAGAAAATCTCCAAAATTCCAAAAAATCCCACCAGTTCCAAAAACACTCCAGTAAGTCTTAAAAAGAATTCCAGAAATTCCAGCAATTCACAAATAATTTCAGTGATTCCACACAATCCAAAGGTGATTTTAGGAATTTAAAACACTTCCAAACAATTCCAATTCCAAAACCAATTTTTATTCCTTTTCCTATAATGTACAAAAATCATCTACTACAACTCACCATTTCGAATGAATTTCAAATTGTGTAGAAATTATAACTTAAGAAAAAGTTTTTTTTTTCTTAATTAATAATAACACTTTATTTTGCAGATATGGTTTCTGTTACTAAATTTTTAATAAAATTTGACTATCTTTTTTGATTTTATGGTGAAGTTTGGTAAAAAAGTCTAAAATAAACGAAAAAACATTTCTTTAGATTTTAATTTCATTTACTGAAAAAAATTCTAGCTCATAAATTTTCAACTTTTTCAGGCAAGGGCTACTTCTTCAGCTGGCGCGACCCCGCGTTGAAGGACGTGCAGGAGGACTGGCTAGGTGGTAGAAACTACTGCAGACAGCGCTGCATGGACCTCATCTCTTTAGAAACCAGCGCTGAGAACGAATGGATCAAAAAACGCATCGTTGACGAGAAGGCAAGTCGAACCATTTTCACTTTTAACTTTCTATTGCCCATCCTTATTAGAACCTAATTACAAATAAAGTACTACCTTGAAGCAATTACATCACAGAGAGTAATCAAACTGCATTCAACAACAGGTGAAATACATTTGGACTTCCGGCCGCCTGTGCGACTTCAAAGGCTGCGACCGCGCTGACCTCCAACCCTTGCCCATCAACGGATGGTTCTGGACTGCCGTGCTCCAGAAATTGGCACCCACCACCCAGCGGGACCAGAACGACTGGTCCGAAAGTGGGGGAATTGGCAAGCCGCAGCCCGACAACAGGGAAGCCCAACAGGGAGGAGCCAGCGAGAATTGCCTTGCCATTCTCAACCAGTTTTACAACGATGGGGTGAATTGGCACGATGTGGCATGCCACCATCGCAAACCCTTCGTCTGTGAGGAAAATGAGGACTTGTTGAAGTATGTTCGCTATACCAACCCGAATTTGGCGGTTTAATTTAGGGATTTTAATGCTGTGGACTGACAAATTAGGCAGCATGTAATTTATTTTGTAATTTAAAGCAAAGAAACAATAAAATATTTCATTTAGTAGATTTCTCTCATTTTTATCCCAACTCGGAACACCATTTATTGATTTTAGAACATGGCTTATTTATGCACTGAAACGCACAACAGGAATAATCTAGTTTATTTTGGCAAAATTATCTAGAAGTTGGTAAATTTCTTGGCAAAAAAGTGTTCTCGATCGAGAAAAAAAAAGCAAAAATGATGTATTTTAGACATAATTTCGCATTTTCTGTCTTGTTTTAAGGAAATTTTTTGAATTTCTTGAATGAAAAACGCTTTAAATCAAGCAAAATAAAACAAAAAACTTTATTTTGCGATATTTTGCATTGTTTTGGAGAAATTCATTTTTCTCTGGTGAAACCAAGCGAAAATAACGCAATTCCGACCTAATTTAACATTTTCATTTATCTTTAAAAAAAATTAAGCAAAAAACATCTAAATCAAATTTCTGACCCACTGTGCGATTATTGTTTTGTTTTGGCAAAATGTTTTGAATTTGGTGCATTTCTTGGCAAAAAATGCTCTAGATCGGTCAAAAGAAGCAAAAATGATGTATTTTAGACATAATTTTGCATATCTTGTTTTAGCGAATTTTTTTTTAATTTAACTGAAAAACGCTTTAAATCGAACAAAACAAATAAAAAAATCGCATTATAGACTTTGGTGATTTTTCTTTGGAATAAACGAGCGAAACCGAGCAAAAATAACGCATTTCCAACCTCATTTAACATTTTTTTGTCTTTTTTCAAAGACAAACACTAAAACATTTCTAAGTAAAACACATCTAAAACAAATTTCGGACTTATTAATCGTTCAATTTTCTGTTTTGTTTTGACAAAATGTCTTGAATGTACTGAATTCGTTAGCAAAAAATCTCTAAATTAAGCAGTTTTGTGTCTTCTTTCGATAAAAACCGCTTTATATTAAGCAAAATATCGACTACAAAACTAATTTTTGTAAATTTCTTGGTGAAGTCACGTCTTAATTTGTACTTTTTTCAACGCGACAGTAAAAAGGGAGCAGATTTCAGGATTTTGCGTGGATCTTTGGAGCCCTCTATTGACACAATTTTATTTCACAAGCAACCAAAAATCACCACTTATCTCATTTTCAAACCAACTTTGACCCCATTGAGAGACTTGAGTACAGTTCCCTGTGCAAGTTTAAAAACAAAAATTTTTAAGTAAAAAACATCTAAATCAAATTTCTGACCCAACTGTGCAATTTTTTGTTCTTAGGCAGCATGTAATTTATTCTGTAATTTAAAGCAAAGAAACAATAAAATATTTCATTTAGTAGATTTCTCTCATTTTTATCCCAACTCGAATACCATTTATTGATTTTAGAACAGTCTCCGCTGCTAGATCTAGTTCACAATTGGAAGAAGCAGGAAAAAGCTCAAAATTTCGCACAATTTTCGAAACTATGCTTTTTATCTCCAACATGGCAAACTTTTTTCCTGAAAAATAATGTAAATTTCATTTAGTTGCGTTTTATTTTTTTACCAACGCAAATTCTTGGACCAGCACTAAACGGCATAAATTGAAAAGGGTGTTTATCTCCCCCTTTTTCAAATCTACTCGGATCAAATTTTTCAGGATTGGGATAAAAATCGGGATTCATGTGAATCCCGTGTGTGAAAATAACGACATTTACTCCTTTCGGAATGAACAAGCCATCTGAAACAAATAATAGTTGCTTACTGTGTTACAAAGTCTAAATTTTCCTTCCACAGGTGGGAAAAAACACTTTCCTCCCGTGTAAAACATATAATTTTTCCTACGACCCATAAAAAAAACTTCAAAACTAACAATTTTTCCGTTTCTATGAGAGAGGTAAAAATTTTTACCTTCCTCGGGAATAAAAATAATAAAATACCAATTTTTACTTTAAAAATAAACTGGAGTTGAATATTTTTTTTTAAATTAAGGAATTGAATAAAATAAATAAACATTTTGACAAATTATTTGACATTATTTGCCAAATTTATCATTTTCGTATGTTATTATTAATTTAGTCTCAAAAGTAATAGAAGTAGGTAATGAGAGGTCAGTAAAAAGTCATTTTCCAACCCCCGTCAAAGTTAGAAAAATCAATATTACAATAAAGTTCTGAAAAAATATATAATTGACTGACTAGTTTCGACTTCTAGAAAGTCATCTTCAGGAAAACTAGGACTCTAACGAGGAAGAAATTGTACATCAACTTTTTTGACAGATGAGGGAAGTAAAATTATTACTGACCTAAGAGATAAAATTTTTACCTCTCTGAGGGATAATTGGCCACTTTCCTTTCTAAAATTGGAGTAGAAAAACTTACTTTCCGTTGGGTCGTAAAAAAAATTTTTTTTTAAACATTTCGTACCAAATTCCACATTTTGATCAATTTGCCTTCCATAAAGTGGCACAGGAGTGTACAAACGCAACCCTTCTTTAATAACACACTCTAAAAATTCCATTTCTTGTAAATTGGTAAAAGTAACATTTGGGTTTTGTTCTTGGCCAAAAAGACGTTTCTGTTCCTCAATAATTTGATCCTAAAATCAAGCATTTAAAAAAAATAAAGAGTGCGCCAGAACTAGCGCCCCAAATAAAAATTTCAAGTAAGATAAGATAGCAGAAACATGGAAAAAAATCATTTTGACATTTTTTTATGTTTATTTTATGTAGGTATATGTTTTTTTAATAATTATTTAGTAAATTTACAAAAATACAGCTTCATTGTTTCCTCTTCTAACCTGTAACAAAAAAACTTGGAAAATTATTTTCCTTCAGAAATAATAGTGTTAAAGTACAAAATTTAAACTCTGATAACTTCGAAATTTTTATAGATACATTTTTTTTCAACATTTTCCCATGTTCCTCGTATCTTACTTAATATGGCATTTTTCTCTGGGGCGCGAGTTCTGGACCATCCTGTATAAATACATATTGAATATTTAACATGTATCAATTTATTGTTTTTATTGCTTAAATTTAAGTAAAATAAAAATATTTCTCTATTAAAAAAATTATAAATTTTGTCTACTAAAATACCAGATACGAATTTACGACACAAATTGGTTCCATAAATATTTACAAATTTTGAAGGCGACTTCCTTAGGTCAAAAATAGAAAAAAAACCCATTGGGATAATAATATGACAGAATTAACCAGAAAATCCGAATTTTTAAAAAACTATATTTAAAAAACCTCTTCCATAACAATTTTTGATCTAGCGCCAAAAAAAAAATACACGCAGTGTAAATTTTAGTGAATTTATCTCTACGAATTATCGAGATAAAAAATATAATCTCTTAACTCTCATAACTTCGAAATTTTTTTTTTAACATTTTTCCATTTTTCCAGTTCTGGCGCACCTGTGTATACCAGGTAAATAAAAAGTATGGAACCAAACGTTTTTTGCTTGGAAAAATTAATTTATGAATGATAATAAAGTACTAAAATGTGATGTTTTATCAAGAATACAATTTTTTGAAATTTTTAATTTTTTTAATTGGCAAACCATTTTTTTCATAAGAGTTATCTAAGGATTACAACCATCTACATAATATTTACTTTTTTCAAAA